GAGATGCATGCTGAAGTAGAAGAATTTGCCAAAGTCCTTATGGGATGAATTGTTTCAACTGCTGTTTATATTTTGAACAGGTGCCCTACCAAGAAGCTGAAGAACAAGGTTACTGAAGAAGTGTGGAGTGGCAAACGACCATCAGTGAGTCATCTGAAGGTGTTTGCCTCTATTTGCTACAAGCATGTTCTTGATGCAAGAAGGAAGCTTGATGACAAGAGTGAACCTATGATTCTAGTAGGATATCATAAGACTAGAGCATACAAACTATTCAATCAAATGAACAATAAGAGTGTGATGAGTCGAGACATTGTGATTGATGAGAACTCTGCATGGAATTGAAATTCTGGTGATCCAATTAACAAGCCATTGATGAGTTATGATTTCGACGAAGCAAGTAATGATGTCGAAGTCAAAGGTATTATCGATATTCTAATTGAAGTCGTAGTAGTTGCTGACATTCTCGACACAATCGAAGTCGAAGAGGATATGGTTGGCACAAGCCAGAGACCTTAAAGAACCAGCGCTCGTCCAGTAAGACTTCAAGACTATGAAGTGGTTAGTGACGATGAAGTCACAACAGATGGAAAATTGGTTCATTTTGCTTTCCTTGCAGGTGCTAAACCAATCAACTATAGCGAAACCTTCAAAGATAACCACTGGAAGTCTACTATGGTCGAAGAGTTACAAACAATTGAAAGAAACAACACATTAGAGTTGGTCGAATTGCTAGCACATACAAAAGCTATCGAATCAAGCAGGTGTTCAAGTTGAAGCACAATGTTGATGGGTCGATAACAAAACATAAGGCGAGATTGGTAGCTCGGGAATTTCTTCAGAGAGCAGGACTCGACTACACCGAAGTATTTGCACTTATCACAAGATTGGAAACTGTTCGACTAGTGGTAGCCTTGGCATGCAATCAAGGTTGGCTGACATTTCACTTAGATGTGAAATCGGCATTTTTGAATGGACTTTAGATGAAGAGGTGTATGTCGCAAACCTCTTGGGTTTGTGATTCAGGAGGAAGCAAGGAAAGTATACAACTTGCACAAAGCACTTTATGGTCTCAAGCAGACACCTAGGGCATGGAACAAGAAGATTGACTCATACTTGGTCGAATTGAGATTCATCAAATGCAAATCTAAATATGGTGTCTATGTTCAGGTTTGTGATTCAGGAGGAAGCAAGGAAAGTATACAACTTGCACAAAGCACTTTATGGTCTCAAGCAGACACCTAGGGCATGAAACAAGAAGATTGACTCATACTTGGTCGAATTGAGATTCATCAAATGCAAATCTAAATATGGTGTCTATGTTCAGGTTGTGGCACAAGATATAACAATCATCTGCTTATATGTTGATGACTTGCTAGTAATTGAAAATAGTTTGAAGAACTTGTCAAAGTTCAAAGAGCTGATGAAGAAGGAATTTGAAATGTCAAATCTTGGAAAGTCGTCATATTTCCTAGGCATGGATTTCAAATTTTGAAGCAAGGTATGGTGCTACATCAAAGAAAGTATGTCAATGAGATACTTAAAAGAGCTTCAGGATGGATGATTTGACTCCTGCATCTTCACCTATCAAACCAAACTTGAAATTGGAGAAGCATGGAAAGGAAGACAAAGTCGATGCAACTTTGTTCAAACAAATTGTCGAATCTCTGAGATGTGTGTGCAACAGTCGACCTGATATATGTTTCTCAGTCGGATTAGTGAGCAGATATATGAGTGAACCAATGGTGCCACACATGAAGGCTGCAAGAAGAATCCTAAGATACTTAAAAGGATCGACAAACTATGAAATTTTATTTCGACGAGACTCTAAAAGCAAAGAATCTATGGTTACTTGTTATTCAGATGCTGATTGGTGTGGAGATAAGGAAGATCGAAAAAGCACTACTGGATATTTCTTTCAAGTATTTGGTGCCCCAATCTCATGGTGCTCGAGAAAGCAACCTGTTGTGGCATTGTCATCGTGTGAGGCTGAATATATAGCAGGATCCTATGCTGCGTGTCAAGCAATTTGAATCAGATTTATGCTGGAAGAGATCGAGGTCAAAGTGAAGAAACCTCTGGTACTACAGATCGACAACAAGTCAGCCATAAATCTTGTGAAGAATCGAGTTTTGCATGAAAGAAGTAAACACATAGAAGCTAGATTTCATTTCTTAAGGAAGAAGGTGAATCGAGGTGAACTTAAAGTAAGGCATTGCTCAAGTGAAGCACAATTAGCCGACATTTACACCAAAGGATTGAAGATCGAAAAATTTCTAACTTTGAGAAAGAAATTAGGAATAGATCAGATCGACAATGATTAGTGTGTTTCGACAACTTGGATTATATGGGGTATGTTGAGATATTAGATATAATCCAAGTTGAATTATGTGGCTCAAGCCCGAAGTTAATTAGGGTTTAAGTTTTGTTACTTAGTTTGTTATTTTACTTAGTAGTCAAATCACTTAGGTGTATATAAATAGACACTTTGTAATTCATTTATCATTCATTCATTCAATAATATCAATCCTTATTTCCTTATTCTCTCTCTTTCTCTTCTCACTAAAAGTGTTTCACGCACTAATAGATTTATGGTGGCCTGTGGGCTGAAAATGGTGTTAGAACATCAATTTTTGAGATAAGTTGCAGGTTTAGTCGATTGCACCATAACAGCAATGGATTGACACCCCTATTTCTGCGTTATTTTTGAGACAGAATACAGACAACAATTTATTGCATTAAAACAACAATCGATTGCACACCATATAACCATTATAAAAAGAGTTTCGTAACTCTGTTTGGAAAGCAGTCGGATGCATTGGAAAACTAGTTCAATGCTCTACCCTATGGTAAAGTAAAGTGATGCTTGCCTTAGTTTCTGGTAGAAAGTTTGGATTTCGTGAACCCTAGTTGGTTTGATTGATGATGTGACAATATGCTCGAATGCTTATTCATGATTAATTATGATTAAGTTAGCATGTAAAGCCCTACTTGGATTACTTAGTGTAGAGTTGTGTAATAGTATGAATGATGTCATTTCATGTTTATATGCCATGTTTCCCTGTTTGATCTATAATGGTATGTGGATTATGACGAAATGGCATGAACCCAGACCAAAAACTAATTGATGTTTGGATGTTTGTCGTAGTCAACGAATAATGGTGTGCAGGTGTCGTCTAAGATAACTGAGGGAAACACTTGGAAACTTGCCGAATGTGAGTGCGGTATACAAAACCCTAGTCGGTTGTAAGAACGTATTTGTGGTCATGAGGAAGCCAACCATTCAATCGACGGCGAATAATAGAGAAAGACTCTAGAGTAATCATTTAGGTTAAATGAAAACCCTAATGATATGTACGTGTTATGCTTGCCTAATTAATAATATTTGGTAAGTGAGTGAGCCCTAGGGTTGATGAAGAATTCGGCGGTGAGAAAGTCCGAAAGTGATAAAACTTCAATTCTCGCTAGAAATTGTTGTAAAGATCACGAGATAATGTGAACCGGTAGGTGAAAGTTTTATTCCTGCGTCTTGGTTAATTTGTGGTTTGGAACGCAGGAGAGTAAGTCCAAAAAGTAGGAAGGTAAGAGATCTTTGAATTTCGTCTTGGTGGACATGGTCTCATGCTAAGGGGGCAGTAACTTCCATAAGAGGCCAAAATCCATTGCTTCTACTCTACATGCCAAGGTTAAGTAGGAAGCCATCTTCATGTTTAGTGTGAAGCTAAGCACTTCAATCCTTAGTATTACATATAGTACGCGAGAGTAGTGCTAGTAAGATGTGAATAAGGATAGTGAACCCTATAGATTCGAGTGGACCCATAAGATTGGGAACTCCGTTGAGATATAGTTATCTCACCCCAATCATGTTTTTTTAGGAAATTCGAGGAAGGATTAAGGAATGGCAAGAAAACCTGCAGACTTGAAGACCTAGATGTCTTCTGTTTAGTTTCGGCTGTGTATTTCTAATTAGTTGTATTAGATATTCATTGTATTAGTTCTTATGTACCATGTCATGTACCTGAATTAATATAACTTTGAATGCGGTGATTGGACTCAGTACCAAATTTTATTGGTTCAAATGATGCGTTTCAAGATGTGTATTTCTTTGGGTCACTGCTGAGATCCTATGGCTCGAGTCACTTCTACAAGAACTAAGGGTCAAGCATCAAACTCCAAGGGTTTTGTGTGACAATTTGAGTGTTGTTTCTCTCTCACACAATCCTGTCCTCCCCTCATGCACCAAGCACATGGAGTTGTAACAACGGACATCAATAAGAGCCTTATTGTCTCTCACATCCCAGCTCAAGATAAATGGTTTGATGTGTTAACCAAACCCTTAGCGACAAGCTAAGAATGCATGACAAGCTTTCACTAGGCCAACCACCCTAAAATTGAAGGGAGAGTATGAGGAATAAAGATGGCATTTCCCTTGTAATTTGGCTCAGTTCTCTCCCACTCCCTTAGTCTTAATTATGTTATGAATTCTGTTAGGAGTTGGTTACTCTAACTGCCTAAATATTCTACAATGTAGAGTCCTAACTAACTTTACATTCAAGAGATTCAGATTCAAAGAATCCTCTATCTCTCTTCTCTCTCTCAATTATGTTTTCATTCAATGGTTCCCTAACTCTAAGTTCTTATATATGAGAGTCAAATAAGTGTGAATACTCCCTCTGACCCTATATATAAGCATCATATGGAAAAATAGTGTCCACAAATATATGCACGCTTTCAAATTACTAGATGCGCAATTATTTTTTCTTTTTCAAATCCATCCATAAATTAGCATTCATTATGGCCGATAATAAATGCTACTATTCTGTTTTGGAAGATGAAAAGTCAATATTGAATACATTTATACTCAAAGGGCAATTTATTAATAGTCATACAAAAAATGTACACGTAGTTACACTATATTTTTCTTATGTGTAAAAATTGACATAGGAGCTTATAAAAAGAGATGGAGGGAGTATAAGACATATAAGCAAAGGAATGAAGGTTACCATATAACCAGTCCTTGAAGTACATATGAAGCACAGACATCAATTCTCGTTTACGATTGTCTTCTAGAGAAGCTTCGTGTATTAGCCGCCTTATCTCCCCTAAGTTTTTTTTCTGAAAATAATACGCAATTCTATAATTAATCCAATTGAAACGTAAATTTTATATATATATATATATATATATATATATATATATATATATATATATATATATATATATATATATATATATATATATATATATATATATATATCGAATAGCCTAGTAAACAATACATTTTTATGCTGAGACGCCGCATATGAATCTGGTAATGCAAATGGGTTGTTTTTTGTAGATCCAGTGGATTCTCCTGCAAGCCAGTTTGGAATCTGCAGACAATAAACAAATAGAAAAAGGAGCTCTAAGAAAAATAGAAAAAGAACATGGTTTTTAAATTAGCTATAGAGAATAAAATAGATATTTAAAAAAAAATACTTGGAAAAGAACAAAGAAAGATACATCTCAACCCTTCTTCATCCATACACCTTTATAGAACAGTCACAGGATACAAATCAAAACATTCCCTGCTGAGTCTAACAGTCATACCACAAAATTTGTGAACTGATCAGGGTCCACTCGTGTAGCAGACTCAGCTTGAACATCAGATACACCAGCTGGATGAGATAATGAATCATGTGGATCAAGAACACCCAAAGCCAGAGTTTCATCCCATCTGTTCACTGTGGGCAGAATTCCAACTTCACTCATATGCTCCTCCAACTGGGGGTAACATGTATTATACGGTGCCACCTGACAAATAACAAGAGAAAATATCTCAAATAATAAGTTAAAAAAGGAGAGTGAGGATTTTAGAGAAAATATCCATACCCTTATCAAAAGCTAATACCATTATAAGAAGCATATCTGCATAATTGTGGATGAAAAATACAAATAAAAATAACAATTTTACTGAATGTTTCACAGGCTCAGATGCTTATTCTTGCAGTGTCAAATATAATAACATCACAATACTGTATGGATGAGTTAACCTTTTTTATTTATTTTTACTTATATTAACCATAGCATTACATGTCAGGCTTCAGATGCTTTGTACTGTCAGAAGTGAACAAGGGTTATGACTTATGATGGGAATTTAAGTTGCAATCCTCTTACACGTGGTGGGTAGAACCATGGTAGCAAGGAAGGTGTGAGGTGTGGATGCTGTTAGAGAAAATAATTCAAAGCGGAGAAAGGGAGAAGGTAGGAAGAGTAGTAGAGTATGGCAATTGGGTGGGTAGGCATTTCCTAAGTAGTGTATTTCCAACAACTGCCAATACTACTATAGATTGTACTTTTACAATCTTTGGCTAAATGAGCAACCCTGATTTTGCCTCAGACTTGTTTCACAGTATAGTCATAAATTACTGTGATGAAATATAGAAACAGTTGTAGTTTGTTTGGGGTGTAGCTCCTCCTTTGTGCCAAAAAAGAGACGTAGAAACAATAAAAACAGAGAGGGAGGGCCTGAGGATGCTCACCTGCAGTTTATGGTTATCACCAATTATAAGAGGTTGCTGGTTCACTCCCAAAAAGAAAACACATTCACGACAGTTGGCAATACAAATACGTTTTGTGGCCACAATCACATGAACCCGTTCACAGTGTTCGACTCTCACCGCCTGTCCAACAACAACAAAAAAGTGAAGATCAGCTTCAGTACTCATGATAAAGCATCAGTTACTCTAATACTCATAACTGAGAGATTAACCATATCCCAAAACCTACCAAGTACTAACTAAATATCTTAATTTGAATGTTATAGAACAGTCATCAAAACCATCAGTATATAAGTACTACAGAGATTTATTTCAAAAAAAAATATTAAAATGTGGAATAGAGGTGAAAGTCCAAGTAAGTTTACCTATATCTATCCATTAACAAATTCGGAAAAAACAAAAAATAGAATGGACGAGATTGTAGACTAACAAGCTCAAAAGAATGTAGCATATGTCAAAAAGGCCCATAAGTACAATTTTTAAATTGTAATAAGTCTTTCTATATTAACAGTGTGCGTGCGACTAGACTACCCAATAGGGTAGCTAACTAATGAATGGCTAATAAGTTTCTTTCTAATGGGGTAGCAGCACGTAGTTTGATGAGCCTCATTAAGAACTGCAACAAAAAAAATCCTTTGAATTCATATTATCTGATGATGTCAGGAAATTTCGAGAACAGTCTGGGCAAGGGGAGGAATAGAACAAGTTTAGGATGTACATATGAAAGAGACTGAGTTTCCTACAGTGTAAGTTGATAGGCTAACTATTTCCCAAAACTGAATGCAATCCTGCCATTTGAGGGAATTTCGCAGAATTTCCTTGATCCTTGGCAAGTTTCTTCAGAGAAGTTTACCAAATAATAACATCTTAGATTCCATAATGTCCATATTTGAAGTTCTATTAGAGACAAAATAAGTAGGATTTATATCTTTCATTTAATATACAGAAGATCAACTCAATATGATTAGTAAATTATGTTGAAATATCTTTTTAAAGCAACTGGTATAAATTTATCCATGTAACCAAATCGACTGAGTGAGAAAAGACTTTTGTTGTTAGTATACCACTTCAAATGCTCCAAATCCAAACTCCAAACAGGTGATATCCTCTAAGAAAGACATGCACATAAATGTGTAAAAGGTGATTAAAAATTATGCTCTTAAAGGCCAAATTTATATTTTCATTGTAATTAGATGACAATAGATATCTACAGGTACGGATAGTAGTCATCTGCTACTTGTCCAGTTGGATAGAAATGATATCATGTATGTATCTGCTCCATATCCAAGCAAATATATGCTAGACAGGGTAGCTAATTCACAAGTATTTGTGGATATCAATTTTTCCAAAAAAATGCATTCATGTAATTATTATATTTTGTATTTATGTAGAATTTCTTCCTCCTCTTTTAACAAAGAGAATATTAATACATTGCACTTACTTTTACAACAAAAATTATTAATCAAACAATAAACACATTATGAAATTAGGTTAGGATTTCTTTCATGTAAGTAATATTTATAAATAAGTAATTTAATATTTTTCGCAATTTTACTAGTTTACTAACGGGTTACTGATATCCATAGATACGAATACTGTCATCATGGCCTCTATATACATTAACTAATAGGTAGTCAAAATATTCGTTTATTTTATTCGCAAGAATCCATAAAGCTATTAGCAATTTGCCCGGGCCAGGACAGTTTTTACTCACGGATAGGGATTCCTTTTACATCCCTACTTATAACATCTTCTCGCTAAACAGCAGGCAATGCATGTATCTATGTTGTCAATCTCGAATAGTGGCACCAGACCCCAAAACTGCTATAGCGGTACAGTGGGATAGCGCTATTGCATAGACTAAAACACAATATACAGATTACACATTAACCCCAACAAGATACATGAATACACAAAATTAAAGTGTAGTCATACTTGATAATTATAATTAACTTTGGTATTTGTCAATAATATGAAAAATCAAAACCTAATATAATTTAGTTACTGATTAAAGTTGAAAAAGTAATCAAAATGACAACCCAGTAAACAAGAAAAACAGAAGCAGGAAGAGTTTAGCAGAAGACCAGAAAAACTTAAGCGGAAGAGTTTCATAGGAGACCAGAAAAACAGAGGCAGAAGAATTTTGCAGAAGATTTGAAAAACAGAAGAATGGAAAAGTTTAGCAGAAGAAAAAGGAGAAGAAGAAACAAGGAAGAACAGAGGTTTCGCAGAACGCGAAACACCGATGAAGGAGAAAAGTCCAAACCAGAAGTGGAATTGTTATCACTTTGTATTAGGAGAAAGATAAACCAAAGGTAGAAAGACAGAAGGAGAAGAGAGTGTTCTCCCTCGAGAAGAAGACAATCGGGTCACTTATAATATAGCGAAATGATCAGTATACCCTTAAAATAAACTGAACGGTTAAAACATAAGGGTAATTTGAGGGATCTGACTCTTTTAACCAAATTGTGGATGCAAACAAGCATTTTGAATGTGACTTCGCAGCGATTTGCAGCTGCCACACCTGATGAACATGGCTTTCCGGCTGGATGCCATCGCTGCTCTGCGATCAAGCGCTAAAGCGACTTGGTACATCGGCATATATAAATGAAAGGGCAAAAAACTGGATGCAAAACCCAAGCTATACAGTGGAAGCTAAAACAATGTTAATATATTGGTTATACAATACTACAGCCATTTAATAGGAAAGGTCAGTTCCATTCTCATTTCTCTTTCCTACTAGAATTTTAATAATCTGCACATAAAAAAATTAAAATTAAAATTTAAAAAAAAAAATTAAAAAAAAACTTATTCACTTTAAATGGACAATTATCATAGCAGATTCATGTTCTTTGAGTTTCACTTTACCACTCAGGATGACATCGTGAAAGAACAAAAATAAAATATCATTTCCAACATTCCTGTTAGAAGGTAAATTCCATAGATGTTCTAATACATTATTAGACTCATTATGCACCTCTTAAAAAGCAGAAAACAGATAACATTTACCTTGCCAACTGCTCCAAGAACTATTGTGGCATCTGAGCATCCATAGACAATGGCATATCTCAAAGGTGCTAAGACATAGATGGTAGACTCTTGGCAATTTAGAACCTGCAATGACCATACACAAATATAATATCATTAGCAGGACACTTTCCATAATAAGTTGAACAAACATCTCAACATCTAAAACATGTGTAGTAAAATACATAATGCTGCAGATTAAGATCACAAAAATAACATTAACAGCGGAGTTACTTAAAGAAACTTTACATTACCTAAGGATTCAATTCAACTGTCACAAATGCTTAAGGTGATGTGCAGAAGTGGGGAAATCTTTTATTTCCCTAAAAAATAGTAAAGTATAATTTTTTTATGATAATAAAAATTGGGTTAAATATACATCACCCCTGTAATATTTTGTTTTTTGATTCCCCATATAAGATATTTCTTTTGTTTTACCCTCCTAAGCGTGCAATTTGAACACTGAATCTGGAGGTAAACCAAAAATATATATATATTACAGGGGTAACTTTGACATATAGGGGGCAAAAGACATAGAATTTTAACATTTCAAGGAGGGATTCAAAAAAAAATTTACAAGCATAAACCGAAACTCGCCTACATTGCAGGGGGTGTTGTATATTTAACTCATAAAAATTTAACAAAAATATTAGTATGAACGTTAAAATAAATAAAAACTACTATCATTGTAATTTATTTTAAAAAATAGGGGGAAGGATGATTATTATTAATAATGGTAGCTTTAATGACAAATTTACAACTATCTCATGTGGGATTTAAACTTTGTCCCTTGATGTTACAAAGTCAAACTCTTACGACTAAGCTGACACCTTTTAGACCACTAGCAGACAGCAATGTAATTTGTTCCTTACAAAAAGGCAAATATGTAGAGAACAAGATATCTGGTATAACACAAAAAGTGAACTGAACAAAAGCTAATATCAGATATATGTGCATATACATGTGTATGTACAAACAGACACAGATATATGTAACTAATTTAGTTCTAAAATTAATTGAAAGTCCATGTGTAAAACTAAGAATGAATAAACATCTAAAACAAACTAAGCTTAACCAAAAACTTGGCTCCACCTGAAATAATGATCTGTGGAGTCGCATTTGTGGCTAAATTGATTGCAGACGCAACATAGGAAAAACAATTTTAAAAACATGCAATGCCCCCTTGGGTGAAATATAATTACGTCAATCCCCAACAATGAAAGGTGGGGTTTTACAAGATTAATGATGGAACAGAAAGAGATTGAATTTCTTATGGAAAGACATTAAAATCAAATATATCTAGATATCATTTCCTTAGTATAATGTCCTCATGGAATTAAACTAAGCAAAAGCACAAGAATATAAATTGTCATCTTTCTCCGCAGCCACTTCAAATGCTGAAATTATTCAATATACATTATTCATCACAACACCTTGCTTTCTATTCAAGCTCTAAACGCCTTTACTAAATAGCATCCAGCTTAAAGATGATTGACCATGAAAAGGTGAACACGGACACTAAATTATAGGCAGTTGGTCTAAACTAATCTCTCCAAAATACTCTCCCTCCACACAACAAAAGACACACTTTGCTTATTTCAAAAAAATTAAGAAAATACTATAAATGAAAGAAAGATAACGGCCATTTTGCAATTTAACTTTATCAAATATTGGTGTATTCATCATTACCATAAATGCAATTGCAAAGTGAAAGATATTGACTTGCAACTGCAGCACATAATATTAATTAAAGGGTACAACAAAAAAAGAAAGAAAAAAAAAGTAATTAGTATTACATTGAGAGTTGAAAGTGAGACTCATTTTTCAGAGAATTTGTTTTACAAATGTGACTCATAATGAGTACATATTTACAGTATGTTTAGAGAAGTAAAGAAGAGAGAAGCAGAAGAGAGAGAAGTAGAGAAGAGTGTCTATTTCTCTTGCTTGGTGCATGAGAGAAGTTAAAGAGAGAAGTAAGAGAGATCAAATATCAACTTTTTGTTTTCTTCTCTATCTAGCAAAGAAAAGGAAGAGAGATGCTCATTCATTACAAAATTACTATTTTGTCCATTTATGTTTGTGTAGTTATATAATGTAACTGTACTACTGCATGAACGTCACTTTATTTTATGGTTGTTTTATTTTTAATTCTTTAGATAAAAATTATGGTTTTTTTATAGTTCTTACATAAATTAATTTGACAAAAATATTTTTGTTGTATGTTGAATTATATACAAAAAATAGATAAAGTTTTAATTAATGGCTTATTAATAAATTAACACAAAAAATAAAATAAAAAAACTCAAATTTTTTATTCTCTGTATTTCAATTAAATATATTAATTACCATTTCCATTCTATCGTTTGTATAAAATATATATAAAATAAAAAGTAATAAATGTATTTAATTATTAAATTAATAATAAGAATAATCATGTAATAAAAAAAATGAATATAAATGAAAAATTAAATTAAATTTAATGAATGTCTTTTTTAATTGAGGAGTATATTTGTACTTCTAAAATTTATCAACACTTCTCTCTTTTCTATTTCTCTCACCTTTCTCTTATACCAAACAATATATCAAATCTATTCTATTTCTTATCTCTTTCTCTCTTCTCCCACTCTCTCTTTTCTTTTTCTCTCTTCTTAGTTTCTCTTTACTACCAAACACACCATTAGAGACATTCAAAAATCCACACCTCTTAATGATAATGATGAAAGAGTTGTTTTCCAATTTCATTAGCTTTCCAAATCTGTTTCCTTATTTAATTGAGGTTAGGAAGAGTAGCATGTACTAATAGTACATTAATACTACAGTACACTAGACCTAATTCCTACATCGGTATCACGAGTTCCGGTTTTGGAGGCCTTGCTTCTACATAAAAACCTAACCGGCAGCCACTTTTATTGTGGTTCTCTTTATTAGAATAGAATATTCTACTGTTTTGTCTTATTCTATTGTTTGTCCTTTTCTCTTTTCACAGCTGTCAGTTTGTTAGGGCACAGATTCTTTTATTCACAGTTGTCAGTTTGTTAGGGCACAGCTGTAAGTTTGTTAGTGAGTTGTGCCAGCTATATATAGCTACTGTTTATATTCAATTTTGCCAAGAGAATGAAATACAAATCAGATTATTTTCTCTGCTTCTATTATCTTAACATGGTATCTTGAGCCTTCTTTCTTTTTTTTTCCCGTGCTCCCATGGCTTCTCCTTTCAATTCTGAGGGTGTTTTTCCCTCTTCTCACATCAAACTTTCTCACCTCATCTCTATCAAGCTTGATGAAAGAAACTTCAAGCAATGGAAACAGCAGATTGAGGGTGTGATTCGCGGCCACAAACTGCAACGGTTTGTTACGACGCCGATTGTTCCTTCCCGGCGCAGATTCGGTCACCGGTGGTGCGAATCCCTTATATCTTGACTGGGAACAGCAAGATGCGCTTATCTGTACTTGGCTCCTCTCCACTATCTCTGACTCTATTCTTCCGAAACTGGTCGATTGCACGTACTCATGGCAAGTGTGGTCTGAAGTTCAGCGTTACTTCAACACCTTGCTCACTACCAAGGCGCGTCAACTTCGATCGGAGCTCCGAACTCTCACCAAAGGTTCGCGCACGATAACAAAATTCATGATTCGTGTTCGTGACATCAGCGAATCTCTGGTATCTATTGGCGACCCTATTCATGATCCGTTCTCGATGCTCTTCCTGAAGAGTATGATCCTATTGTTGCTGCGATGAACAGCAAAGAGGATCTCAGTACGATTGAAGAGCTTGAATCGAGTCACCTTGCTCATGAATCGCGTCTGGAGAAGAATCGTAAAGCTGTTGTCACTGAACCTATTTCAGTGAATCTTGCTCAAGCACCACCATCTTCTCAGTCTTTCTCTACTGATGCTTCTGGTGTAGATACTGCCTCAACCTTTCCGGTTGGTACTAGCCATGTTAACGCCACTGCTGACAATCATGGTTATGGCTTTCGTTGTGGTAGGTCTGGTCGTGGTGGTGGAAGATTTGGACGTGGAGGTGGCAGATCTGGTAAAGTTTCTTGTCAAATTTGCCACAAACCTGGTCATGATGCAACAATATGTTATCATAGGTACTCATCTTCTGGTGCTTCGTCCTACCCTTCACCAAGAACTCCCTTCAATCCTTTCATGATGATGCCACGCTCACCATATCCTCCTTCTGCTTTTGGTTATGCTCCTGCTCCAAGGCCTACACCACCAAGGCAGCCTCAACCTCAAGCGTTCTTAGCAGGTTCTGATCCCAGCTTCAACAACCAATGGTGGTATCCAGATTCAGGTGCTTCGCATCATGTCACGCCTGAGATTTCAAATTTGTCTGATGCTTCTTCACTGCCTGGAACTGAACAAGTGTTCATGGGGAATGGTCAAGGTTTGTTTATTGATTCAGTAGGTTCCATGAGTTTTCCTTCCTCTAATCCCTCTAATTCATCATTAGTCTTGCATAATCTTCTTCTTGTTCCTCATATAACTAAGAATTTCATCAGTGTCAGTAAATTTGCTCAGGATAATCGTGTTTATTTTGAATTCCATCCTAAATTTTGTGTTGTAAAATCGCAGGATACTTCTGAAATCCTTCTTCATGGCACTGTTGGAGCTGATGGACTCTACAGATTTGCCAAGCCCATTGCCTCTCTATCCAAGTCTATTAGTCCTAGTTCTAATTTCTGTTCTAGATTTAGTTATCCTTGTAATCCTGTTGCTACTAGCAACCATCTTTCCTATTGTAATGATGATTTTCACAATAATAAAACTGCATCTAACTCTATTTTCAATTCTCCTGCTGTACATTTAACTTCTGCTTTTAATTCCCACTCTAATTCTGCCATGTCTGACTCTGCCACTATATCAAACAGCAAGTATGCTCTATGGCATACTAGGCTTGGTCACCCTCACCATCATGCACTTCTTGAGGTTCTCAAACTCTGTCAAATTCCTATCCCTCAAAAGCCTCCCACTGACCTATGTTCTGCTTGCTGTTTAGGCAAGTCTCACAGACTGCCATCAACACTGTCCACTACTATTTTCACTTGTCCCTTTGAACTCGTTGTGTGTGATCTTTG